AATATTCATTTAGTTCCTATATTTCAAAATAAATAAATTTGGTCCTTATATTCAATATTCTTCGCAAAAACAAGTTAGCTCTTATGTAATTTTTTTTAATTAGATCCTTACATGTCAAAAGGTTTTTATTATTTAATTGTTAATAATTTTTTAATAATTATTAATGAGAGCACGAGATAAAGTAAGTATTTATACGCAAAAACTCATAACATAATAGATATGTATTTTAATTTTACTTCTACCCAACCCATATTCGTAATGAATATTTATTAGGTCAAGTATTTCGTTAGAGATGAATTTAAAATTCTAATAATGGAAGGGACCACTTTTTAAGACCATCTTTAAATTTATTCTTTCTGTGCTCATTTTATATCCGGCTATTTTCATCTCTATCTAAAGGAAATATGAGAAAGACATCAACTCTTATAAAATATACGTTCCTTCAAAAATCAAATCACTATTTATTGTCGACTGTGATTCATCAATAATTTGTTTTACAAAAAAAAATATTTATAGTTAAAAAAATTGATTGAAATGATAAAATAAAAACTTATACATTATTAATGAATATAATTAAAAATATTAAAAATATATTAAAAATTTAGAATATTATATAAAGATAAATTAATCTATTTACTCTTGTAACATTGGAAGGACAATTTTGTAAGGCCAGCTTTGAATTCTTCCTTGCTGGTACTCGTTTTATAAAGAAAATAACACAATATCCGATCTATTGACAGGTGCAAAATGAAAAAGACATCTATCTATGTTAGAAATACGTTCTATCAAAAAACAAACCACTATTTGCCGACGGCAACTCATCAATGATTCGAGCCCATGATACATACACAAACATGTGATTCCACGACAAGAAAAACATCAAGGCAATAAAAGGGAAACATTAAAAAAAAGAAATTGGATACAAAAATTGTCAATGGTATGGCTTTAGATTTTTCCATTTTAACTCATTGATAGCCACGCTAATTAAACTTGAAACACCAGACAACCTTGTATTTGTTTTGATGCCAGGCGTCAACCATTGACCATATCTTCTTAATTCAGACAAAAGTATAAGACCCTCTTGTCATTAAGAGTAGAGCACGTGTATTTTAGGCAAAGTTTGCATTGTAAACGTGTTATATGATCGTAGCTTTGTAGTATAAAATTTTTTCTAGTTTATGTTCACAAGTGGTAGTTGGCGAAGAAAAATTTTTCCTCTTCATGTTTCTTACCTACTTCAGTCACTAGCTACCTTGTGATTTAATCAAAGAGTTAGAGGAAAACTTGTACGTAATGGTTGAATTTAGAGATCCAAAAAGAGGAGTTTGGCGAAGAAAAAAATAAGAATAAAAAGGGAGGGATCAACCCTTTTTAAGTTTTGGATTTGAGGGGCTTCTAGCCAAGTCAAATTAATATTATCTAGAATGCGACTTTAAGGCATAGATTTTGTCCAAATCAAATGGATGCTAAACTACTTGACATTTGTTTTTTAGATCCATTTATTTAAATAATTAACAACAAGGCCACCCATGAGTGCGTGTTCTCATCACTTGCTTATTGAGCTAATTAATTCCTTTTTTTTCCTTAGCCTAATCATGACATAGCCACTTCAAATTACTTCAATTTCTGAAGGATTGAAGAATATTTGGGCAGGGATTTTTAGTTCAAGGTTTTAAGCTTTAATGGTTCCTATTGTATTATCGAAACAAATGTAGTTTTGATATTCTACTACAGATTAATTTATATTGTCCATTGCCTCACAGCCACGTTACCAAAAGTAAACATAGTCACGAATTTCAAAGCTTAATGCATGTGGTGGATTGCAGAAGGAATGAACATTTCGATGAATTTTTGTTCATGAATTTAAACTTATATCCTAACCTATGGAATAAATACATACATGTTGCTAGTAATTTGACCAAGTTTGAATCTCGTAATAATATTATTAAACAAGTTGATGTGATTTTTATTTTATAACTATTTAATTTTCATTTCTCTATGGATTGCCAACATTGCCAACCCCATATGTTTTGCAAGGGGGCACAAGCAGCCAGGTAGCCCTTTGAGCCGTATTGGATGAATTAATATCAGACCTCTCGATTTGCATATTCCTTGTATATTTTTAGCCCTAATTTAGTAATAATTCTTTCCCAACAAAACAACATTTGTCTTTTCTATTGATCACTCGCTGAACAAAGAATGCTGTAGCCTGTAACTGGGTCAATTGTTGTTGGGTGTGAAACCGTGTATATTCCATCGTTGATCATGACATGGGTGATGAATGGATTGAAAAGAGAAAAATAACTAGACCCAGGCTTTCCTACCAACTGCAATAACTCCATAGTTTCAACAATATCATTGCTTAATGCAAAAGGTCCTTTTATTTTTTCTTCATTTTTCAATCACAATAATGATGAATAAATTACAAGTTGTAAAATTTCATATCAAGTGCTAATGCCGATGATGTTAGCAATATGCTATACTCTCAATTAAAGAAATTGTAGCTCAGTTATGATAGCCTCTCGTAAAAGGTAAAGATCATACTTACACTTGTTGCCATCAACTAAAGAGGTAGAAAACATCTCCATCCAAAGAGAAAACACTCCCTGGATTGTTTAGTCCATCAACTATATATAACAAGAAGAACATCTTACCCATCTAATAATAAAATATCAGCATTCGAAATTGATATCTCTCAATTAGATGTCACATGTTGTTGTACAGAAGGACAAAAAAATCATTTTTATCCTCCTCTTAATGCAGTTTGGTCACATTCTCTATTATATAAAGGCACAATAAACCAAGTTTAGGTTCTATTTTTTTTCCTTCTTTAACCGATAAATATATTATTTATCATATTTTACAAAGAATACACAAATATTATAGTTTATTTAGGTATCTACTCTTTTTTATAAATCAATTTGGTTGTCCGATGATCCTCTGACCCAAAAAAAAAAAAACCTTGTTGTTCAAGTGCACAAAACTACATGACCTTCTTCCATTACTATAGAACTACCATTTATTCAACCATAAGAGAACCCCCTCATCATTATTAATTATCAGAAGATCATCACCTTACCAAAAACACGAATCAAACTTGACAAAATACTTTATCAACATCCGGAAAAACACGAGAGAACAAAATAAAAAACAGTTGGGAGCTTGTTACGTAGAAGCATCGTGGAGAGGGAAGTGTTTTTCAATAGGAAAAAAAAAAAAAAACAGTAGTGCATCCATTTCACGTGGAAACCGCATCAATTTTTTGTTTTTTTAAATATAAGTTACTGAAGACTAGAAGTTAAAATTTATTTATCGATAATGAAAACGAACAGAGGGGGAAATGAAGCACAGATATATGGCACATGGCCTTTGGGTTTGGGACCCTATCCCTCATTATTTTTTTCTTGCAGTGTTATTGTGGTCCCCAAAGAAAGGACTTAATTAACTCAACGTGTAGGACAGTGCCCTTCTCCTTCTGCATTTCTTGCCTGCATACAGCAAGTAGACTGTTAAAGGTCAGCATTAATTTCCTTGTGTATGGGATCAAAATCAAAGAAACAATTGGTCAAAATTGGACTGTAAATAACGTTTTGTTTAAAAAGACAAGAGAATGATTAGTTGATGCTACCAACCACTAAAAGTTTAGTGTCATGAAGCTTTTTTTAAGTTAAATGAGTAACCTCTCTGAATTTTAATACATTTAAAAATTAGTTTTTGAACATCAAATTTGAAATTTGGCATCTTCTGAATTTTATTTTTTTAGATTTAGTTCATATTTTAATTTTTAATAAAAAATAATAGTTACATAAATAGTTTTATGATTGAAATAATTCAATAAAATTTATTTAAAACTTCTCAAAAATTTTAAGAATCCGAATTATTTTATATTTTTCTCAATTTTTCGTATTTTTAACATTAAGAAAATAAAATAATATACTTTTAGACCTTGAAAAATTCTAAGACTTTATATATATATTGAATTTTTTTTAATGTGTGTGCAAACTTTCAATTCAAAACACTAAGAATTAAAACTTTTAGAAGGGTGATAGTTGGCTATAGCCTAGATCTTAAAAAAAAAAAAAAAAAAAAAAGGTTCTAGAGATATCAAATCCAAAATTAGTGAATTTTCAAATTAACTAAAATTTAGAAAAAGTTTGAACTATTTAGTTTTTTTTTTCTTTTTAAGTTTAGTTTCATAAAAGCACTAAAAAATGAAGCAACAAAAAATTGCTTAGTCGTCAAATTTTAGAAACGACAGGGAAGATAGGTGTGAATAATTAATCAAGCACATGGTAATGTTAGTTAATGTTATTTACCTTCACATTTACAAGTTTCAAATGACATTCAAATCCAAAATTAATTCCCATCTTTTTTAAGCAAATAAAATACAAAATTCTTACCAAAAAGTTTTTTATTCAGCTATAAGCGAATTGATCATATCAATATGTGGAGTTTAAATTCTGAAGTTGTAATTATTGAAAAAAAGTAAATATTATTGCTTCATTTTAAATAAAATTAATTTTATTTTTTAATACAAGACGAAGATACTATATTAAAAAAGAAAAACCACAAAACCCTCTCTCTTTTTTTTTACCCCTTCCATGCAAGTTAATTAAAAACCCATTCTCCCTTCACACCTTTAGATTAGGTCCTTGACATTCAAGAATAAAAGTAAATTACATACCAATAATAATAATAATAATAATAAATTTTGATAATGCTGCATGGTTGAGAGAGAAAGATAAGGGGGTAGGTGTGAGATTGACCGAACCACCAGCTCCATTAGCACGCCACAATACCATCCTCTCCTCCCGAGACTTTCTCATATAAAAACCCCCTTACCTCCTCCATTCTAACTCAGCTTGGCGTTCCCTTCCATAGAGAACAACAAGCTTAAACCTCTCGACAGTAACCAAAAAAAATAAAAATAAATCTCAATCCCTTCTTTCTCTAATCTCCATTTCCATTTTTTTAGAGAAAAATTAAAAGAGAAATTCACTATGCAATCGCTATCTCCTCCGTCTCCAATCAAGTCCTTGATCCGGTCACGTCCTCGAGTCACCCGAGTAATTCCCAACAAACTCGTCCTGCAATGCATCTACCGTTCCGACTCGGTCTCTTTCCCGAACGGCGTCGGTGCGAACCGAGCCGATTGGCAAAGTACATGTGCTATATTAGCAAGCAAAGTGCTAGCTCAACAACAGCCAACGGATAAATCTAGTAGTGGTGGTGGTGGCGATGCTAACGGAGGAGCAGATCACGTGGCTGCTGTTAACGGGCACAAGACATCCGTGGACTTAAATCTAGTCCCGATAGAAAAAACCACACCCAACTCGAACAACAACAGCAGCATCAAACCTCATAAGCCACAAAAACCGTTAACGATAACTGACTTGTGTCCTGCTCCTATGCACGGGGCACAACTCAGAGTCGCATATCAAGGAGTTCCTGGCGCATACTCTGAAGCTGCTGCAGGAAAAGCTTATCCCAACTGTGAAGCGATTCCATGCGACCAGTTTGAGGTTGCTTTTCAAGCCGTCGAGCTTTGGATAGCCGATCGTGCTGTTTTACCTGTCGAAAATTCTCTCGGTGGATCTATTCATCGGAATTATGACCTCCTCCTCCGTCACCGCCTCCATATCGTTGGGGAAGTTCAATTACCCGTCCACCACTGCCTCCTTGCCCTCCCCGGAGTCCGAAAGGAGTATGTTAACCGAGTCATTTCACACCCACAAGCTCTAGCTCAATGCGAATTAACGCTGACCAAACTCGGTCTGCAGGCGGCGCGTGAAGCCGTGGATGATACAGCTGGTGCTGCGGAGTATATTGCTGCCAATAACCTCCGTGACACGGCTGCTATTGCTAGTGCACGCGCTGCGGAGCTTTATGGGATGCAGGTGCTTGCTGATGGGATCCAGGATGATTCAAGTAATGTTACGCGCTTTGTTATGTTGGCGCGTGAACCGATTATACCGAGAACGGACAGGCCATTCAAGACCAGTATCGTGTTTGCTCATGATAAAGGAACGAGTGTGCTGTTTAAGGTGCTCTCCGCTTTTGCGTTTAGGAATATCAGTTTGACGAAGATTGAATCGAGGCCGCACAGGAACCGTCCGATTAGGTTGGTTGATGATGCAAATGTGGGGACAGCTAAACATTTTGAGTACATGTTTTACGTTGATTTTGAAGCATCAATGGCTGAGGTTAGAGCACAGAACGCATTGGCTGAAGTTCAAGAATTCACATCTTTCTTGAGGGTCTTAGGGAGCTATCCAATGGACATGACACCTTGGTGTCCATCAAGAGCGGAAGATGATGATGATGACAAAAATGCGTTTTAATTAATAAGATTAAAGAAAAAATCCCCCGTCAAAAGTGTTATTATTTACACAAAAATGGGGGTTTAATTTAATTTTCTTTATTTTTTAAATTTGTTGGGAATTTTTCATCTACAATGAACAAAGAAATTGTTGATAATAATGATTGCCATGATAATGTTGTTGTTTGTTGTCGTAGTTTTTATTGTTGTCACTATTGGGTAAATTTTTTTTATTACAGTAGTTTTGTTTTGTGACTTGTAAGGATGTGAATACTGATCTGTCATGTACTTTAGAGTCTTCAAAGGAACAACTTTCCCAAATATTATTCTTTTTTTTTCAATTTTATAGTGTTGCTTTTATTTTTTCTGAAGGAACTAAAAAAGTGTTGCCTTTTCTATTTTTATTTTTTGGGATTAAAAACTTCAGTCATTTTACCTGGGTGAATGCTGCAACGTTTCAATCAAGGAATGGTCATTTCCACCATGTTTGGGTGAAACTCAAGTTTTGGTGAAGTATCTGTTTTTTACTGTACGGGCTGTTGTGATATGTGAGGATTGGTCGAGTCTCCGTAAAATGAGCTGAAATAGATCCTGATCAGGACAAGCAACCAAATCATATGCCAAAATGATTGAGTAAATTATAAATTATAAATTATAAATAGATTAATTAGTTTCATCTCTTTTGAAAACTAGTTATTTTGTTCTCACCTAATGAGTTCATCAATAAATTAGTCTTTTTTTATCATTTTTTAAAATTAAATTAATGATTTTTATTTTTGAATTATCTTTTTTTTATTTTTAGTTTTAAAAAAGCATCAAATGAAGGATAATTCGAGGAAAAAAATGATTAATACGTACATCTATCCTTATATTACAGGCTAATTTTTCAATCTATTCTTAAATTTTAAAACATCTCCAATATGTTCTTATATTTTTAGTTGATTTCTAATTTATTATTTTTAGTTAAAACTTTCGAACAAATTAAGTACGTAATTTACACATGGTATGTGATTTGATAAAATTATTTTTGTTATTTGACGCAAACTATCTATATCTATCGATATAAAGATTAATTTCTAATAAGTTTGTTAGAAATTTTGATTAGAATGGTAAATTTGAAATCAATTCAAAATATAAAAATAGATTTGAGACATTTTAAAAGTTAGCAATAGATTAAATTTAAAAATTAATCTATTATGTAAGAATAGGTTAGGATGCTAACTAAAAAAAATCATTAATCTAAGGAAAAAGTGATAAAATGATTAATTTATTAATAAAATTAAAATATCACTGATTAAATGATTAGCTTTTAAAAAAAAGAGATTAATTTATTTATTTTTCCAGACTGATTTATAATTAACTCCAAAATGATTCCATTTCTGTAACAAAATTCACAGATTTTGCCACAGGAATAAAGATCACCTGGTTCATGTTTTCTTTGTTAAATCAATGATGCTTCTGTTGGCATTTTCTTTCTTTTTTTTAGATACCTACCATTTTCGACTTTTCCCACTAGGGGTTTTGTCATGGTAAAAAAAGGGTTTTTTTTTAAAAAAAAATAATAATTCTTAACTCTTACAAATTTTTTGCTTGGTTAAATTTAAATATTGTACTTTTAAAGCAATTATTAAAAGCTTAATATATTACAAAGATTTGTTCTTTCTTTCTTTTTTTCTAAAGCAAAACGTGTTTTATGAGTATGACATTACCATTTTGTAGATTCTGTTCAAAAGACTCCAATTCCGCGACTAGGTGCACTGTGTAGGTTAAGTCCTGTATGAAGAGTGAAATGACATTTTTAACCTTGAAAAGGTGCATGGCCATGCTCTGCCAAAATGTTGGTGGTTGATCCCTGGCAGTAGGGAAAGCGTACCCCATCCCATGTAGCTGTCATGGACTTCAGATTTTTAAATGATAATCTGACGGCCAATATTTCAAAGTTATGTTTTGTTCGTTTTAAATGCTTCTTTTTTTTTTCAAATAGGAATTTTTAATTCATTTTTTTAGTCTCGGGTTTCAGTGAGACGCGGTTCTTTAAATTAAAACCATTATTATATTTAACTTATTTTTGTAGCATATTAACGACTCTTTCCGCATTCATTTTTTTTAATGATTTCAACTACTAGTTCAGTTCTTGTATGCATCTTGGCTTCTAATAATTCTTTTATTTCTCTTTTATTTTTTTAATACTACGCTTTTTTCAACAACTATTTGACAATTATTTGTTATGTATCAAAAAAATCGTTTTTTATTTTATTTTTCATACAAATTAAAAAATATATTAATTATTATGTTATATCCGTATTTTATTTTTTGTATTTTTCAAAATAGTTTTTTAGAATTATATTGAACCATTTTTTACAAAATACACTTTAATTAGGAGTATTTTAAGCAAATATGTATTTTAAAATTTTGATCGAATAAGTATTTTGAAAAAATTATAAATAAAAAGATAGACAATTTTTTGAAATAGAGGATTTTGTTTTTTTTTTTTGGTTGGGTCAAGTTATATTGATTGCTTCTTTTTTGTGAAATTATAACCACGTTTATTTTTGTCTCGTCACAGGGAGCTCTCCTGAACTTAGGTAATTATAATATATATTTTTTTAATAATGATTAATCTTCATAAAACAACCAAAGCCAGAGACTAATGGAGTACGGCACAAGCAAAGATAGACCATGTAAACACTTCAGACTTTTAAAAAATGCGGCCGTCTACCCATTTGTTCGAGATTAATTAACATGTTTAGGTGCTTTTTATTTACCAGAAATAAAATAATAAGAATGAGAATAAAAATATATTTTTTAATTTTATAGTTATTTGATTAAAATAAATAAAGTGAAAATTGAAATAAAAATTACATACAAATTCCTTCTTGTTTGAAAAATGAGAATAAAAATAAGATATATAAATGAAAAAATAATAATATATTTTATTTATTTATTGTGTATTATCTACTTCTATCATCACTACAACAATCTCGGCTATCATAACTACCACAGTCATTGTCTCCACAACTGTCATCACTATCATAACCATAACCACTATCATTACTATCATCACTATCACTACAATCATTATTGTCACCACAACCATTACTTTTATTATTTTTACAATTATTATAATTTGACAAAAATATTTTGTAATTATTATTTTTATTTATATAAAAATTTAGATATTAAAAAAATTAAATTTTATTCTGATTTTTTATTATTATTTCAAACATAGTATAAAAAATGTAAATATCACTTTAATTTTTTAATTTTCATTCCAATTTCTATATTTTCATTCCGGATATTTCATTCTTAGTAAACAAACGAAATAATTCTTTTTGAATTGCCACAACAAATGATGAAATTGCCAACAAATCATATTTTCCTTAAACATCAAGAGGGTTAGCTAATTTGGACAACATATTATGTGAATTGTTTATACAAATGTCATTTCAATTTTTTAATAATTATTTTAATTTTTGTATTTTTATTATAGACCTTTCGTTCTTGATAAACAAACAAAACAATTCTTTTTGAACGGGCATAATAAATGATGAAATTATCAACAAATCATATTTTCCTTAAACATCGAGAGTGCTAGCCAATTTGGACAACATGTTATGTACATTTTTATTTGTATTTCTGCAGTGTTTGATATTCCTGCCTCTCCTTTTATCTTGCCTTTACCTAATTAAAATGGCAATTGCCTTGCAAGAATGTTCAACTCTATTAAGAAAATTTATCTTTGAGAATTATATACATGTTTGAACGAGGGAGCCAAATCTATATTCAAACAAACAAAAGTTTATAAAATCACTTTCAAATTGCCCTACCTGTAGTATTTACGAGAAACTTATCCTAATTTAGAAATGGTTAAATAGGCCAAACTTTTCTAGGATTTTAGTTTATTTGAAAATCAATTTCTAAGCTTCTAATTTTGAGTTTGACTTTTCACTCTTCTTTAAAAAATTTTTTTAATTTTTAATTATTCGTATTTTGAACTCAAATTTTGCACGCATGAAAAAATAAAATTCATTTTTTGAAAAATTTTCAGAATTTTTCAAGATCATAAAGTATACATTTTTTTTTTACTTTCTAAACATTAAAAATATAGAAAATTAAAAATAATTCAGAATCCTAGATAAATCTTTTTATCATGAGATTATTTACATGACCGTTTATTTTTTTCTGAAAACCTAAAGGATGGACAAAATCTAAAAAATAAAAACTTGAGAGACGTCAGATCTAAAAATAAAAATTTAAGAACTGATTTTTGAATAAACTAAAGTTAAGAAGAGATTTGACCTATTTAATCTTTAAAAATTTGCCGCCATCCTCTTTTACGTGGCTATATGCAATCTGTCAAATATTCTTCCCGTTTGGAATTAAACTAATCCACCATCAATAATGTTTCCACTTGGGAAAACAGATAAAGTATTTTCGCTATCAATGTCATCACGAAAAGGGAGCATAATTATGTGAATCATATGTTTCACTAAGGGTGATTTAATCATGTTTAAATCGTCACCATGGGGTCTATTTCTTTCAGTTAATTGTCAATTAAACAGCATCTACTCATTTTTTTGTACACACAGCAACAAGTTGCCTAGCGGGCAAGATTAATTACTCTTCTCTGATTTTGATATCATTAGATAGATATATAAATGGTCAGTGCGATTGGTTAATTTATTAAAAGAATTTTAGATTACATAACGAAAGAAGAAAGAAGATGATCTTCTCCTGTTACATTAATTGTACGGAGCAACTGAAGTGATCACGACTCAAATCTGTTTGACTAATAGAAGGAAATTATCATGTGCTAAACCAAATCCATTTGAGCAGTTAAAGAAAGAGCATGACCGAAGTGATTTGCCTCTTGGGGACTTCCATTATCACCATAACATAGAAGTACAGGATGGCTGGACCCAGATGGAAGAAGCAGGCACACTTGAAGGGCATTCCCCTTCTTACCAAACAAGGGCACACACACCCTCGTGAAGGATAGGATGTCCTTGTGTGTGTAGATAT